TAAGTGAAATAAATAGGACACACATGTGTAAATACCAAATAGTTTCTCTAGTGTGAGAAACTGCAAGTGTAAATAAGGATTAAAGTGAATAATTGATAATTTGAAATAGGAACAAAAGGGGCAAAGGGGAAGGGGAAGTGGGAGGGGAAGGGGAAAGGAAAGAAGGGAAAGGAAAATTTAAGAGAAAAGGAAAAAATGGAAGCAAAGTATTTGTAAATAGGGAAGGGTGGAAGGGGTGAAGGGAGGACAGGGAATGGGGAAACAATAAGAACCACAATACATCATGCACAGGTACAAGTACCCAATGATAAATGTAAATGTATTGTATACCTAAAATGTACCAATAAAACAATTTAAGCCAAAAAAAAGATCTTTATTCTAGTCCTAGCTCCATGGGTGACTGGCCATTTGACCTTGGATGGGTCACTAATTATTGGGCCTGAGTAATGACACCTGCCAGCCCCTACTTCACTTCACTCCTACATGCAGAGCAGTCATAAGGATAAGGGGAAGGAAGGACTTATACAGAGCAGAGTCCAAACATCATTGCCCCCTACCCTCCCTCCCAGGCTCTGCTTTCCCCTCTTCTCAGATCAGGGCTGGTGGTTTCTCTAGGGTGCTGTGTGAATGCCACCAAGGCATGGAGGAGGCTAGCAGTACTACATGGGGGATTATCAAATGATGCATAGTCGCACTAGTATGTACTCGTGTGTGCCTAATATTTATAGCAAATGATAAGTTTTTCTTTATAATAGCACTAGAACTTCCTCTTTAAAATTAACTTTCAGGTTGTTATGGCTTGTATCTAGATGTCCCCTCAAAGCCTCATGAGGTCATAACTGGGGATTTTTGGAGGTGGCTCGATCTAGAGTATGTGATGCTGGGTTTAAGGATGTGATGCTGGGATTGATTCATGATGCAATACTATGATTAAGGGTGTAAATGCCACCTACCCTAAGGGTGGGTATCTTGGATATAATATAAGGACAGAAAGAGGTCCGCTGTTGTCACTTGTTGCTTGCTGCCTTATACTTTGATGCCCTCTCCTCACCATGAACTGTTTCTCCTCTATGATGCCCCTGTAAGCTACAATAAACCTTTCCTCCCTTAACTTTGGGTATCAGGTATTTGGTCATAGCAATAAGAAAAGTAATTAAGAAACAAGTTAGTGTAAGTTGTAAAAAGCGATTAAAGAAGAAGAAGTGATGAATAATGCAAGAAATACTTGAATAAAACAAAACTCTTAAAGGTGGAATGTGAGTGGTTAGGGTTTGGGAAACTCCACATGGATCAAAGGACCCATGGCCCCTAGTCATGAACTCCCCAAGGCCTAGAGATCAGACAGAGTGAAAAACCAAAAGGCAAAGATATTTTTGTTGGCTCTGCTGCCAGATCTCCTTAAGGTTCCAGATACCAATTGAGAACAACCAATTGAGAACAACTAAAATAACTGAACTTGGTTCTACAGTCTTCCATCCACAAAATTGTGAGACTGGTCAATTTCTACTTCCTTACTTTGGGACCTCTAGTGTTTGCTTTTCTTGCTGTCTATTTTTTCACCCAATAGGTTCCACCAAGGAAGAGGGCATCCCTAGCAATGCCTTTTCTACAAAGATGTTAGAAATATATAGGTTACTTCCCTAGGAAGTGTATGTGATTAAGAGCCAGACAGCAAACAGCCATCTCCATGTGAATGTCAGGCACTGAGATATACAGGGAGGGGAACTTCTTGTCCAGGGCAACACTCCTGTTCCCTGCAGCAATCCTTCTACTTCCACCTGTAGAGTGAGTTCCTCTCACATCTATTTTAAAGCATAATATATGAGAATCCTGGTAGAAGAATCTCCTAGAAATTTGATCAAGTCCTGTCCCTACTCCCTTACAGCTACCTGCTGATCAGTCATCCTAGAAAGCCTGCCTTGCCTGAAGAGCAGGAGTGAAGGAAGGTTTCAGAACTTCAGAGATGGCCCTTAAGTGGGGGAGAGGGAAATGAGGCTCCCTGACAACCCACCCTCCTTCAGGTAGTGTTGGGGTTGGTGGTATAGACATTGAAAACATTCCCTTTCCTCTCTTCCACAGTGCCCACATTCCATGTTTTGAAATATTCCATCCATCAAACTACATGGGTAAAGAACTAATTATCTTCCCTATTTTTAACATCAGACACTTCCAGTGGCAGCCAATGAGTGAAAAGAAAGAAACTTAACCTTTTGTTTACCAGTGTAACATTTCAACATTTGAAGTTTTCTTTTTTCTTTTTCTGGAACCCAACCTGGAAATACTAAAGCCCAATGTCTCCCAGCCTCTTCATGGCTCAAGCAGGGCCTTGGACTGCTTCAGCAGGTTCTTGCCTCTAATGGACAAGATAATACCACTCTGGGTGACTCATGGAAAGCTGGAGAAGCACTGAGTTTTGTCATTTCTTTCATTTCAGAAGCTCTTTTCCTAATGGTGGTATCCTTGACTTTTGTGTGACTAAAGCAGAAAGTAAGAAGAGGAGCTGAAAGTGGGAAAAGGCCAAGAAAAGAGGAAGTAAGAGAATAAAATAAGAATATGGCAAGATTGGTGAAAGATAGGTCCTATAAACTATGAAATTCATCGCAATGGAAAAGATAGGGTCCAAGCAGACACTACACACACACACACACACACACACACACACACACTACTACATTAACCACTATCTACAATGTATCCCATAACATCATACAGTAAACCTCAATTTTATGTAATAAAATCTATCAAAAATCAATGAAACAAACCACAACAAATTACCAAGAAACATATGAAAAATATTCAGCCTCATCAGTAACCAATGACAGAATACCTGAGTGGAAAATTACACAGTACTACCAAGTTTTGGCAAAAGTAGCAGAAATGGGCACTCTCATAACAGCTGCTGGGACTGTGCCCAGACATGTTCTAGAGCCGATGAGAAATGCCCATCAGAAACCTTAACTGTGTGCATTCTATTTGACTTAGAAATTCTACCTTAAGTATTTGGAATTTACCTTAAGGAGGGACTCATGGAGCATTGCAAAGATTTAGGTATGGGGCTTATAATAGCAAAAAATATTTAGAGGAAGAACATAGTATAAATGTCCAACAATAAGAGATTCCATGAATGAATGATGGCGTACCCATATTCCAGAGCACTACACAACCATTTTAAGTAGGAATGTCGAGTAATATTTAATGGCATAGAAGTAAACATACTGTAAAACAGAGGATGTTATAGCAGCCCATTATTTCAAACTATATATGCAATTGAAAAGATTAGATACAAATGATCAAAAATATAACTGGTGTTATGTATCCAAGTGATGGACTTACAGGAATTCCTTTTTATGTATGCTTATATCTATTTTCTACAATGATCAAATTTAGCTTTTGTAATAACAAAAAAGCTCAATAACATGTTTTTAATGAAGCTGCAAGTTATGATAGGGATCACAGAAGAATAATTCAAGTGTTCAAAGTTGGCTAAGAGGTGGAAAATCAGAGGCAGATGGAGAAATTGAGAGTTGAGGCCTGTTAGACAAAGGGTGTGTTTACTTCTGCCCAGCTGGTTGCAAGAGAAGTTAGAATTTGGAGCTACACAGGTAAATGCTGGAAGGCAGAAACTAACAAGCACGTTAACCTTCTATTGTTCTGCCCGAGTAACTGTGACTGCAGAAGCTGTTTCTCTTCCCTGGCCCCAAAGTCCTTTTCCTTCCATGACTCTATGATGATAATACCAACAGGTAGTACCCTTACCTCCATTTTTGGAAGGACAAATATGAGCAGTGATGGGATGAGGTAAGGTCAGGACTTAGGGGAGGGACAAAGGAATGCAGAAAAGGACCAAGGATATAGTACGTGTTTTTATAGATTTTGTTCTCCTGGCTTCCTTTATTCCTATGGAACTAGGATGACCTAATTTAAGGCTTTTCACCAAAGATACTACTTACAATAAGTTATTTTATACCTCATGAAATCAGGAAGAACCAGAGAATAGCATGGTGGAACTTTAGAAGCTGTGGGTTTTGACACCCATCCACCAGGCCCTAGCTATAATTCACCTTCCTTGGGCATCATAAGAAAAGGAAGGAATAGGAGATGGGGAAGGTTGACTTGATCCCAGAGGCGCTTCTGTTAGACACCCACCAACAAGAATCACTGAAAACACGAGTGTCCTCGAGGCAGAGCTTGCCCCTCCTTCATGCCTTCTCGTCCTCTTGGATTTCCAGCTTCCTTGAAGTCTCTGAACACAAAGGCTTGCTCTGGGAAGGCCACAAATAAAGATGTGGCTTCCCTGGGCCCTAGCCAACAGGAAGACCTTCTGTGGAAGTAGCAAAGGTGAGATGAGACTGTCCAGTACAAGACAGAGGCCTGAGTGAGCCCAACCCAGGCAAGGAGGGATGGCAGGCAGCCCAAGCTAATCACTGACCTCTGGGCATGTCCATAGGGTTGAAGCTGGCCAGCAGGTCACGGCACCATTGGCGATCACCTTCTGTCTTGCTCAGCCAGTTGGTGCAGTTGAAGTAGTAACGGAGATGAGGCCTCTTCATGTCAGCCACAATCACACGGTCCAGGTACCAGCTGGCATTCAAGCCTGTGTTGTCATGCTCAATCCTGGAGCAGAAGCCAATACCCACATTCTCACTGGCAGAACCAAGATGGTACCCTTTCCTTAACTGCAATATCCAGTGTTTATTCCAAAGAGAGATTCAATCATTTTGTTATTTTTTGTTACTTTACAACTTCCTCATCTACAAATGGGGATACCTTATAAGGTAGATACACACATTAATGATGGTTACATTGTTTACTGCCTGCAAGAAAATATTTTTTTCATGCAAAGTTTAGGACTCCAAGGCTTGCAGGGGAACTGTCTTCTAGGTCCTGTCTGATCAGTGCTGCTTTCTAACCTTGGCCTCTGCAAGCATTGCTCCCTCTTCTCACTCTGGCTCAAGCTGTGTACATACCATTCTCTGAAGCCCATCTGAGTCAAGCCACATCTGAAAGTTCATCGAGACAGAAGCCAACTAGACGGTCTGATTTGCAAGGCATCTCTTGTCCCTTGGGACTCAATTCCCCCTTCCCATTGCTATGTGTCCCTTTCTTCAAGTCTCCCACAACTAGCAGACATGATCCCACCACCCAGGGAATCCCCAATAGCCATCTAGACTTCTATGGTTGTCACACGGAAATATAATGTGAGTGGCACATTCAAGCCACAGATATAACTTCAGATTTTTCTAGTAGGCACATTTAAAGAGATATAAAAAACTGGTGGAATTAATTTTAATAATATATTGCATTTAATTTTACTTATCATTTCAACATATAACCATGTTCTTTTTCTAGGACTAAGTCTTCAAAAGTCTATTGCATGTTTTATATGTCTAACACATCTTGATTTGGATTAGCCACATTTCAAGTGTCCAGTATTCACATGTGCCTAGAAGCTGTGAAGATTCAGAATCCTCAAATCTGTCCCCCATGTTCTGTTCCACTTGGTGTAACCCCCTTTGTCCAAATTCATCTCCAGAACATGGCCCCAGGGTGGTTGACCTCACTTCACATGGAACATCTCATCTCTGCCTAAAACAGTGAGGCTTTATCTATGTAGATCTTAGTGGGACAACCACAGCCCAACACAACACTCAGCCTCAATACAAAAATGACACATATGGGCCCCCTCCTTTACAGGAACACACACTTCTCCTGGCAACTAGTAGGACCTTTCAGCTAGTGGTTGCCTTTCCCCACTCACCAACATCCTTCCCAGCCCTTCCCTCCAAGAGTTCCTTCCTTACTTATAACCCCCTTTCCTGCATACAATCACTTCCCAGAGACCTCGTGTACCTCTAATTTCTCTAGCAACAACAGTCCATGGACCTAAATTTCTAGCAAGAGGAAGAAAAAGCAAGACTGAGCTGAGGCCATAGTTGGTCCCTGTTCAAGCCCTAGTCTAGTCCAATCATAACACAGATAACCCTAACATTCTGACAAATAGGGGTGAACTTGAGTGAAGGTGGTTAGTAGGGACTAGGAGGGGAAGGGGAACTACTGAAAGTTCCTCCTCTATAACCAGACCAATAGAATTGTCCCTGCACATACATTCACAAAAACTCCCCTGAAGAGAATAGTTGATCAGGAGCTCTCTGTCCTAAGGCATCTTGCAACATGGCCCTTGCTGAGTGCTTACTGTTTAGTGGTTATTGCTCTTGGCAGTGAACTCATTGAGTCCAGAGTCATTACAAATGAGGCACCATTATTGGAGGAGAAACCTGAAGATTAGAAAAGTAAACTGTCCCAATTCCTACAGCTAATAAATAGCAAAGCAGGAATGTGAATCCAGGCCCTCTGAACTGAGTCTTGCTCCTAACCACTGAGGTATAGTGTCTCTCAGAGTGTGTCTTAAGTTTGTGAAAAATTGTCTCAAATTGCCTTAATCCAAGAAGTGAATCCTGCTGTAATCGGGAAGTTCAGGGCACTGTGATTCTGGGTGGGAGGGAAAGATCTGGGTCTTTGGGAATCCCTCAAACTACACCTGGAAAGTAATCAATACCCAGAAAGTATCAATAGTGAAATCAGGTCCTAATATACTTACATTCATCTTCACTCCCACCCTGGGCAGGGGCTAGCTTCTCACCTGATTTTATAGATGAGGCCCACGTTGTTTGTTCTTACCCGGAACACATCGACATTAGCTTTCTCAAAGGCAGACTCACTCCTGCAATGAACATGTGCCCAGTTAGTACAGATCAGACTTGGTTCACAGGATCAGGAGCAGAGCCAAGGGCTGCATCCTTTTCTTCCTCCATCCTCTCACTCCCAGAAAGAGCTCCAAGCAACCAGATCTGAGTCTGAGACTCCATTTTGGTGTAGAAGGAAGGAGGAAGGCAAAGATGGTTAGTTTCATTCCTTGTTCTTGCACCCAGGTCATCTGATCTTAACCATGTGTCACTAAGGCAAGAACAGTGAGCAATATTTATTGTTAATTAATATCTGTTTTACAGATGAGTAAGTAGCTAGTTGGTAGCAGAGCTGGGACCAGTAGGTACCTCTCCAAAGCCATGATGCCATGCTTTCTGGTTGTTCTCGGTTAGGAGGGTGGAGGAAGAAAGAATGTGTGATGAATGCCTTGATGCCCTTGGGTCTGCAGGCCTCCTTGCCTCTCCCCAGTGCCTGCCTTGCCCTTTCTAGGAAGAGTTGCAATGGCAGTCTCAAGTGGATGCAGACCTCGGATAGCAACCAATGGTCCTGAAAAGAAGGTGAACACTTCACCCCAATCCAACAACCAGGGAAGTAAGGAAAGTGAGCGAAATGCATATCTGACATCCTACAAATTGTGTGAACAGAGAAAAGTACACTTAAGATGTTCACTGATGCAGCACTAAGTGTAAATCCAGAGTTTGGAGCACCCTAAATTCAACCAGTTTAGACCCAGGAGGGCTAGAGTCATCTTGCTCAGAATCTTCTAGAAGCAGAAGCTTGACTCTCCTGTCAAGATCTGCTCCATCCTTTGTGTAGGCCAGAGTTCTACCACTGAAGCTCAGGCCTGTTAGCAGTTCTTCCTGCCCCACAACTGAACCCCGTGGGTCTAAGAACATAGACCTTCCTCAGTGCTGTTGGATCCTGAGACCAGCACACAGTAGAGGAAAAAAGAAAATCACAGAAGACATATGCCTGTGCCATGGTCTGGCTTTTTACCAAAAGCCTGTAAGTTAAAGGCTTGATCCCCAGTCTTCATCCTACTGAGTAATGGTGGAACCTTTAAGAAGTGGGGCCTAGGAATAAGGATACAGCTCAGTGATTAGAGCATGAGACTCTGGGTTCAATCTTAGCACCACACAAAAAGATGGTGGGGTCTAGTAGGAAGAAGTTTTGTCATCTGGGCTGTGCCTCTGAAAGAGATATTGGAACCCTGGCCCCTTCCTGTTTTACTCTCTGCTTCCTGGCTGCCACAAGGTGAGCAGCTTTCTCTACTGCTGGCTCTTGCCATAATGTGCTGCCTCATCACAGGCCCAAAAGCAATGGGGCAAATCAATCAAGGACTGGAAACTCCAAAACTGTGGCCCAAAATAAACTTTCCTCTTTTTAAGTTGATTTGTTTCAAGTATTTGTTGCAGCAACAGAAGACCAATGCAGCCTACTATTACCAGTAGTCATCAATGTGCTTCAAAATAAAGGGCGAGGTAAAGGGCCATCTTGCCAAAGACGCAAGGTTCAC